TTTGCAGTTTGGGCCAGTTACTTTCTAGAGTTGTAATGTTTTCAGCTAAGAAATAATATTCCAGTTTTATAAATTTTATTGTTATCATTATTATGCATAGATCAAAAAATAATTTTCGCCATGAAATGAAAATTTTGTTTTATGATAATTATTTTTATAAAATTGTCAATTATGTGGTGGATTTTTTTTAGGGTTACAATTGACGTTGATTTACCTGCGTACAGTAGGAATATGCAGTTTTAACCCTATATTTTACTGCCAGTTTTTTTACAAGTTTCACTTTTATTTTGTGCATGTTGTTCCTATATATTGTTGGCATTCAATGTTACCTTTGGAAGTTTTCATTTTTGGAAAATATGCAACACTGGTTTTACATATACACATATAATTAATAACATCTTGTATTTGAGCATCTTTCTGTAAGATTTCTTGGCGACAATGTACAAGTATGTATATTCAACTTGTTAAAAACTGAGACAAATGAATGATCTACTGGTTAAAAAAACTAAGAATCTATTAGAGATACAGGTACAACAAGTGAATGCATTCGTTTCCATTGGAGGTCAATGCATATTGCCTAAGTGCATACTTTGCGGTATCCTCATAATAACCTTATTATTGCACATCCTTTCCTCCCAAGGATCATTGGAAGGCCGAAATCCTAAAAAATTCAGAACAGATTCAGCGAACTTCTTTGTGTGGGGGCTGCCATGTTTGTTTTTACTCTTAGAGAATGTCGCGCTCATAAGTGCTCCATATTTGGAATTCGCATTTCCTAATATGGTAGGATGAAAATATCCAGTGCAGTACCGGAAAATTAAGTCACGCTGTAACTTATGGCGTTGTGGTGACAGATGTATAATAAATATTATAAACTATTGATTGCAATTTATTTTTCAGATAAATTTACAAGAATTATCTATACTGCTCTGGGATCTGACGAGCATATGTCAGTATATCTGAAAGATGAAATACCAGATGAGCTGCATTATAAAAAGAATCCTCGTATCATGCCTATTATTCTTGTTGCCAATGAAGGATGGACTATTGTGTTTTCGCGTGACGACGTTAAAGGTAAGATCACCTAACAACCCAATTCCAAGATAGCTGCCATTAGAAGTTAACTGAAATCGTACCTCGATTTGATTGTTAATGCATGACATTCATTTTACTGTAATTTTTTTACTCATGACATGGTAGATGAACATGTTATTACCAAACGCTTCAGCGTGGTATTAAGAATTTGTTTTCAGGGTTGGGTGATACGAAGGTGGAAAATGGTTGCACATATGGGGGTAATCCCTGGAATTGCAATAGAGAGGGTTCAGGCCGAAATACAATATATAGTGTTTTCATGTTTCGTCTGATATTTCTGTGGTATTCTGCTGCTGTAACTAATGCAACATTTGTTCTAAAATTAAGTGTATTGTGTGCACTCAAGGACTATTCGTTTTTTGCTGAAAACACCCCTATTTTT